CCAGAGGAAATGCTGATTGACAAGAACTTGGCCTGTACCCATGAGCACACTTGTTCATTAGTATTTTCTGTAGCATCTGGTAAAATAAAGGGACTACATTCAACTTTCAAAACTGGTGCATATCTTCCCAGAAAAACTGCGTAAACAAATTGAACAGATTGATCCCTTAGGTACAGATAAATAGTCTATATGCTTCCCTGATCTAGACAAAGTTTATTTTTATGATTTTGAAAGAAATGTAATTAGGCATCACAAGGAATTTTTTCTGTAACAACTTTTTTTATATTATGCTATTTCTCAATCAGTAAATATTGGAGTGCTACCTCAGGATCATAGCTCTTTTAAAAAAAAAAAATAAAAAATTAAATCCTATTCAGCTATTTATAGCAGGGGGTTTTTTTATAATTTATGCATAATTTTATTTCCTAAAACTAATCTGAGATGCAAGAATCAACAGCCCAACTTGTATGAAAAGTAACAGGGAAAGGTCAAGACCTCACATGTAGAGGGGAAAGGGGTCCTCCAGCCAACAGCACAATATCTTAAATGCCAGCTTGGGACTGCAGCTCTGGCCTGGCTTTTAGGGAAAACTGGCAGCCAGAGAGCCACCAAAGTGGCTTTGTGCAGCATCCAAATGGATGGGAAAAGTGAAAATGCTAAATGTGTTGAGACCACAGTCTCAGTTAAGGTGACAAAGTTTAAATGAAACCCATAGAACAAAGTCAATATGCATCAGCTCAGATGAAGGCCCTACTTCTTTAAATGACCATTTTATATTTCCTGTTATGAGACTGGAAAGTCAGTGTTAGAATATCCATACTGATACTAGGAAATACTGGAAGTAGATGAAAAAATTGTATCTTATACTGTATATTTACTTTAAAGCACAAAATCAAGGTATAAGTGAAAACTACCCACCTTATTATTGTTCATATTAATTCCAATCAGAAAAATAAGTTCCGCCAGGAAAAGGCTGCAGCAGAGGTTTTTGTGAATTGTTGTTCTAGTGCTTTGAATTTCACTGAAGAACCAGAATGTAAAAATGCACATGGAGAGGCAAATCAACGAAATAATTATTCCTAGCTGAGTGATTCTTGTAAGAATGTTATAATTTGTAACACCCTGGGGGAAAATTATAATATAAGATTTAAAAGAATAGCTTTGTACCTTCTCAAGAAAGACCTCATTCTATAATACAGTTCTTTTCTTCTTTTTTACAAAATATTAATCAAAACTGTTTGTAGAGTTTCATTGCAAATGTACACTTTGGATAATCTACAAAGTATTAGCTTTTTTTGTGAGGCAGATATAATTCTAGGGGAAATTAGTATTTTTATTCCTGCTCTTGCATTTGCTGATATTTCTTAACAAAACTTTTAATTAACATCAGTATCTCCTAATATGATTTAAAAAATCAGATCATTTTAGTGAATGACAAATACACTGGCAGTAGGACATATATTAATATGACACAAACGTTTTCTAATATAAAAGGACTTATCACAACAGTGACTTAGATAAGCAAAACTGAATAACCTTAGTGAATTTGCAACATGATCAAAACAAGACTCTGAAATAACAAGCACTTCAAACAAATGTTATTCCAGATATGTAACAATGAACATTTTCCAAAGAAACACAGGCTATTTTAATATTTGATGTGAATATTTCCTGTATAGGAACACAGTGACATATGCTGCTTGGTATTTCCACAAAGATGATGATTGCACATCACCTTAAGGATCGTATTCAGCTGGCCATAAAATGTATCTAAGGATTTTTTTTTTTCTAAATAAAGGACCAGAGATTATTCTTCTTCCAGCCTTCCTTTTCAAAATAACTATATAAGTACCTGCAAAGGTTTTAAATCTGAAGACTTAGGATGCTATTTAGCAACCAGGAAACAGCCTCTATCAGCATGAAATTCACAGTGTGAGAGAACTGTCTCAATACAGTATATTCATGCTAATATTCTGCTTGCTGTCAGTTCTGATACCTTATAAAGCTGCTTCCTTAGGCAGGACCTGAGCTCCTGCAGATCCCTACATAGACCCTGGAAATCTACGGGGCTTCTTAATGTAAGAAGGAGATAAATTGAGTGGTAATTCTCATGATTTTGTGGTGGTCATGAGTGTCCATGTTTAATAGCCATAAACTTCAAACTGATTATGCTGTTGCAAACTCTCAGGAGAGAATTTAAAGCGGATTTTTAGATGCCAAGGTTAGACAAATGGGTGGCAAAGTTTTGTGAGAGAGAAATTCTGGGCCATATGGTTACTGACCACCAACAAATGCCAGTTAAATCCCACAGCAGTCTTAAAGTGGGATTTAAAATTAAAAGCAATGCACCAAAAATAAGCACAACAGACTGTGTATTTGGAACAAGATACTTTGCTGCATCACTGCTCTGTAATACTGCGGAAAGGACATAAGGAAATTCAAACACATATGGGAGGAATTTTGTTTGCTCTGTGCACAATAAATTGTCTGTTTGCTGAACAAAATCAAGAGACAACCTAAAGGGGGGAAAGTGCATAAGTTGCAGTAAAATAAAAACATAAGGAACGAAGACAGGAGAAAGTGTCAGGTAAAACAGTAAACTAAAATAGCACTTACAACAGAGCCACCTGAGGACATCAAAACAGCAAAATGAGTCAGATGATTACATTTGCATGAGATATGAGTGGAGTTGGAATGTGTCAGCTCACAGCCTTCTGTAGCCCAGTTGCCATTCATTGTGTCTGCTGAGTAGTTCCAAAATGCACATTTAATATCTTTATCTGCAGTCTGGAACAGAAACAAGATGTTTTACTGATGGCAAAAGGCAGGATATTTCTCATCAAGAGACTTTTCTTATGTTAGCCAGCTCAATTTGTTAAAAATTGTGTGTTACCATTGGAAGGCCGGAAAACAAAAAGCACATTCTGCAAGACCTATTCCAAGCAATTAAAACATGGCCGGGGATGGAAGCATTTTATCTGCACAGATAACACCCCACCAAACATGCAGGCTAATCAGATTACTGAACCTTTCTGGCACTTGCAAAGGTGTTGGAAGTTTTGCCTACTGAAAACACTGTTGTATATACCCCTGCACCTGCTGGACATGGACTAAACCCCAAAGTTACAGCCACATTGTCCTGCTCGCACTCTCTTCCAAACAAGCAGTTCAAAACTCAAGCCATATTCTGTGCATTTTACAAAGTAATCTGGGAGAAAGCCAGGGTCATATCACACCTGCTCTATCAGGTACGACAACAGCTATGAATAAGACCATTAGTATTATTTATTATGGCTAATGCTTAAAAATGCTAGTCAAGGATAAGGTCCCCACTATACTAGATGCTGCATAAATATATACAAATTTATACAAAAGTGATCTCTAGCTCAAATATTAGAAGGCATGTAGCAAATTTAAAAGCTGCATAACCAAGGTTAACACCTTAGTCCACTGCCCATCTCCCTGTGGAGTCTCACTTTCTTGTTATGCTTCTGATAATTCTTTGTGTCAGGTAAAATGATTCTTCACATGCAAGTAAAGTCACCAAAATCTACATATACTGGAAGTAAAACTCTCAGTTTTAAATTAATGTGTTCAGATTTCAGAAATAATAAATTTTCAGTACTATAGGTTCTGCTATTAACTCCCAGCTGCAGGTGAACTTTTTGCATTAACTTCGAAACATTTCTTCATTTTTTTTTTGTACACTTTTTTAACCACCTGATAAACTTTCAGAAAAAATCCACCTAAATCCAGAATAGTCAGGATCCTGTACTATACTCTGGTTCAGACATCTACATTTTATTCATACTGCAGCCTAGCAAAGATGGCATTGTTGCCCTTGCTTTAGCTTCATAGTGTTTTCATCTGTATCATATTTAGTATATTGCACTTAAGATGTCACATTTGAGGTTGTCATTTGTTTCTCAAACAAGATTAAACTCATACCAACAAACAACAGAATTATGTGTCAATATATCATACACTGCGGGTATGGTTACATTACATACAACAATTAGCTATTGTTTTGTTGTATTTGAAGTTGATAATAAAAAAAAAACCCCTTACCTTGGCATACTTTAAGGTAAATGTTATTTTCTCGAGCTCATAGAGTGTAGGTGGATTTGAACTAATTGCAACAGCTATAACTGATGAGCTTACTGTCTGTCTGTGCTCTGAAGTATCTTTTGAGGAGAGGTTTTTAGGCGATGAAAGCAAGGAACCAATATTGCTATACCGCAGAAAGACAACTGCAACGGTGCCTATCAATCAAGCAGACCATATTTAGTAGTTTGTGGGTTTTTTATAGAAGAACAAAATTGAAGACATTAAGGAAACAATAAACAATCAACATTATTACTGCTATTGCATAAAATATGCAAAACAGATGGAATTTTTGTGGAATACTTATAAAAATGTTTTAGAGAAAAAGAAATATAGCTTTATTTAAAACAATGTAACTGCCATTAGAAATAAAAATGTATGTTTGCATTGGAAATTCTAATTAGACATATGCATATATATTTTTTCCTAGAGAAATATATGCTTGCTGCTGTTCTGCAATTGGCTACACATGTGGTGTCAGGTCTCACTAAAATAGCTCAGACCTGTCCTGCTTTTTAGCTGAGACAGAGCTAGTTTTCTTTTTAGTAGCTAGAATAGCACTTTGTTTTGATTTCAGCATGGGATTTGTTATGAGAAAAACGTTGATAACATACCAATGTTTTCATTTGTCACTTGAAGTTGAAGGACTTCATGTTTTGCTAGTTTACAAGTGCAAGGTTTAGGGGGGGTGATGAATATTTAAATTAATAAGCTAGATTGGCATTTGGATATGCCAATAGGATATTCCATATGGTATAATGACATGCTCAGTATATCAATGAGGATCTCTCTCTCTCCCTCTCCCCCCCGCTCCCCTGTCTCCTGGCAGGGAGTGAGTGAGTGGCTGAGTATGGCTGCTAGCCAAGTGCTAGCCAAGTGAAACCACCACAAAATCTGCGGCAAATACTGGGCTTCTCTGAAGTACATGGCTTGCTTTGGCTTCCATTACAGTGAAGCCAGAATGGAATACACATAGGGAAAAAGAAAGCAAAAAGTGCTTTAGGATCCAGTAGTGATCTGAAAAAATGCTGTGCTTTTTCTCCCTGGTACCAAGATAAACCATATTTTTAGATATAAATAGGTGGTGAGATTCAGATTAGTTGAAAGATTAAGACTTCAAAAAATCTTTCTGAGTTTACTAGATTAAGTGCTTTAATTCCAGAGCTGTTTAAATACGTTTATTTATTTTTAATGATGACAGTAATTATAAGCCATTTCTGCTGATTTTGATACTGAAGAATACGTGGTCTTGCCACAGTGAACTACTCTCTAAATAGAAAAGATGCCCCAATTTTTGGAGAAAGACTGATATGGACAGTTGAAGGGGCAAGTCCAAAGTCACACTGCAGACCTATGGCTGAGAAAAGGATAAACCTCAGGTTTCTGAGTTTTAAAACTCATATTTCTGAGTTGTAAATGTTAGAAATATTAGTCTTGAGACAATAAACGGGTAGGTGAGATAGTGATAAAAATAAAATGACTCGTCTGCAGTTAGCAGGTCTGAAGCTCAGTCCTGGTAAACTGGACATTTGGTTATTTACTAGTGAGTACAAGTCTATCCGAGGTGTTTATTAACCCACCTACTCTCTAACTTTTTTTTTTTTCTTACCATTAGGATGAGATTTCTCTCTCTTCTTTGGAGAGATCTTTATGTAATCTCCTCCCGTGTACACATGAGGGTGAATGTGTTTCATGTGATGTGAATCAAAAGCAAAAACCTTGAGTGCTGCAAAAGAAGAAAAATGCTGTAAATATCACAGCTCCATTATTGTCTACCATAATTTATGGTTGGTTTAATAAATGTGCTATTGGATTGCATAATTACTGTGAATTTTAAGAATGTATCATTGTGACAAATATTTAAAGAAAAATGCTATTAATATAACATGTTTGCTTAAACCTCTATGTTTTGTTATTTTCGTGCATACATTTTGCTCTCATACTTTTTACTCTTTCCATGAAAAATATATTCTTTTATTTACCTTGCATTAAATTAGGCACTGGAAAGAATAATGTAGGTTACTTTAGGAAGAGCTATTGCTTTATTAAAAATGCATTTCAGAAAGGGACCACAAATCACAATTATAAAAAGCAAAGCATAAAATTCTCTGCTGAATAGTAACGTTTGATAAAAGCCAATTTTTGAAAAGTATATATTTTATAGTTATCTATCTATGCTACCAAATGCACATTGCACCATGAAATAATGATGTGTCTTGTCAAAAAGCAAACAAACAAGTATCACCCCTCAGGACAAAAAGTACATTAGAGGACATTGAGCTATTTACTTGGTTCATTATAGTGCTGAGTTTCAATCACCCAAGATCACAAAAAAAAGTCAATCAGGGCTTTTTTAAAAAACAAAACGACAAACAAATCTAAAACTTGACTGATGGAGGAATAGCACTAAGCTAGACCATTTGCATTGCTTATAGCACCACACAAAAAAGAATATGAGCTATTCAATAGACCAGCTGTCAGAAAATGTTTGTCAGGACATAAGAAATAGTTTTTTGTGGCTGGAGTTTTGAAAAGCTCATAGCTCAAGAGCTTACACTGTAAAAAGCGGTAGAGAGAGAGGGGTAATGTTGTGGGTCTTGTCCCAAAATAGATGTGTGGGGTATGTATAAACCCTGTGGAAAATATACTCATGTTGAGAATCAATAACAAAAAATTTTAGTGCTTGGGGCTAGTTTTGAAAGGAGCTCATAACATTTCCCATTTTGGATCAAAAGCAAGCAAAAAAATTGTTGATCTTTAAACATGGGAATTTCTTCCCATTCTCTTTATCAGCTTTTTTTGTCGCCTTGGTCTAACTGATGTCCACACTGCACCAGAGGCTGCACCCGAATCCTCTCTCTTCTTGACCTTCATGGCCTCAGCTCTGCCACCATGAGAGCCTCTTCTCTCAGCCAGGGTGCTGGGGGAAGAGAACTTTTACAGCCAGCTCCTGGCACTGCTCTGGATCTGCCACACACTATACTAACATAAATCTGCTTCTACAGAGTTCATGTCATGGAACAAATCTCTCCCCTATTTTTTCATCACTCTTGCTAATTTCACTTCAGAAAGATGAGGGAAGAACAAGAGGTTTGACCTGCCTCAGAACCAAGGGGGGAATCTTTCTCATCAAGTCATCTTATAAAATAGTAAACCAGTAAGAGGCACTGAAGGACTGCACTGAATCTAAAATAAGAAATCAGGTCAGATACAGTTTGAGTACATTCAGAAAAACAAAAATGAAAGAGTGGCCATTGCCAAAGGAATCAGCAATGCTTTATTAGGATTTTCAAAAGCAGCTGGTATTAGCCTTACTCTACTCCCACTGAAGGAATGGTAAAACTGTTATTACCACAGGAAAATCAGTAGGAGTTGGTGTGAAGACACCAGCACATAGGGGCAACATAGGAGAGCAAAATGGTGCAGTTGAGACTAAACAATTCTCCTCCTCCAAAATTCCTCTGAAAATGAGAAATTTATCTGAAAACAAAGCCATGCAAGATTGGACTCACTAGGTACAGCCTTTATTCCAAGTTCATTTACAATACCTTCACTGAATCAAAAAGAGTGAAAAATCTGTATAGAGAAAATCTAATTCTCATTCCTCTGGTGTTTTTATGCATATAAGATTCATCCAGATTCACTGTGACAGTGTAACTATAATGAGAGATTGAAGGATACTCTAAAAGGATGACTTCCCACAGCTACTCAAGTTTTTTCTGGGCTCTGGGCTCAAATGCTCCATTTTTGAAAATTATGATACCTACAGTGGAAATCAGGTGTTAGTTATGAAACTCATAGAAATTAACACCTGTGTGTTTCACATAACACCATTTATAATCTTCATAATTGTGCTGAAAAAACTCCACAGTGTAATCCACATCTAAAGTATACCTTCGATTAATTTTATCTTACCAATGTCACTTGCATTAGCATCTAGCTGTGTTGTCTTTTTGAAGTTCTGCGACATGAGGAGCGTCGCTTGTTCTGCAGTATGCAGCAGCTTAGTCAGGCTCTGTCTTTGGTTAGCTACAGGAAGAGCTTCCCAGACTGTAATTTTGTCTTTTTGTAAAAAATTGTTCACAGTGTTAACAAAAATCTGTAAACGAAAGAATATTTTTAAGATGAAGAGTCATTCATGATTTGTAAAATAAGAAAACCCCCCACAAGCCTTAAGGCTTAATCCACTCACGTTAATGGTTGTATTACGCAGCGCTTCATTGTCAGAAACAGAGTAGTGCATGGTATTCAGTGATGAATAAGATAGTGCTTCAACATATGAAATCACATCTACAGGTAAAAGTGGTCCCAAAGTATTCTTATTAATTTCTTGCAGCATCTCCATGGGTGTCTTTAAATTACTAATCTGAAAAATACAAGAATTCACATCTTAATGAAACAGGTAAAGTCACATTTCTGCAAGTGAAAGTAAACCCAATGCAAATGACTGATGTCTGTGAATTAACATATTGGCTTTTAAGATGCTTGTGCATAAAAAGAGGCACTAATTAAATTAACTGGTTGACCTATAAAGTAATGGTGTTACACGTGTCTGGTATAACCCTAACCAGAAATTATGATTAAAAAAAAAATAGTACTGTGCTAGCATTACACATTACACTTCTACATTACACTTTTTTTTTTTTTTTTTTTTACACTACCGCGGCTCAGTTTTATTTATCCTAATGCTTCAAAATGAACTAGTAAATGTTTTGCAAAAATAATTAAATATTAGTGATATGGCTACTTCATTGACTCTTTTCTGTTAAATTTTAGCTGAAGAGGTGGGAGCAGACGGGCAGTATTTCTGTATTTTGTGGTTGGTTTTTTTCAAATGCAGATTATGAAGTATGTCATTTAGTGCAACTGTACTGTTTATTTCACCTTCACTACTGCAGTTTATGAACTGCTAAATGCACTTACATAAAATGATTATTTTAAAAAGTAATATATTAGAGAGGATGAGATGAAGATTAAGATTGCAAATTTCAGTCTCATGGCTGAATATAAAAAAAATTCTTACTTCATGTTACTGAAATCTAATGAGATTTTATCCATCAAAAACTCCCTCAACATCTGATTTTGTATCATCTGTAATGTCTGCTGCTGAGCAGCTTTTATGGGTCTTGCTTTGTCTTTGACTATAGCTGAATAGAAGTAGAACACAGGTTACGAGTTGGTTAAAATCTGACACTGTGTTATTTACATAAGATTGAGGTGTTTTGACTTATTACTTTAATTTAAGTTTAGTTTTATTTCATATTTTTTTAAAAAATCTCACTCTAAGATCCTGCTGTGGCATTTACATGTGTTTGCAGGTAAATGTGGTAAGCATATATTGTATTTAATACAATGTATTACATTGCAGGTTAACATAGTATACATATTAATAAAATGCATATTTTACACTAGGTAAATAAAAACCTTTAAATTAATATATTTCTTAATTCTCTAACTTTGGCAAATTGCTTAATATAAAATGCAAACACATACAGCAGGTTTTATTTATGCTTATGTTTCATTTATCCTTTTAAAATAGACAATACTATAGCTGTAGACTAATGAATAGTGAATTAATTAATACTTTAAAATTTGCTTCAGGATTCTCTGCTTCCAGTGAAAAAAATCTTGAGTCCAGAGTCTTAGAGTCTATAAATTCTGTACCACTTTATGTACTATGCTTTGAGGAGCAAATACACCAGCATACCAGGATGTTATTGCTCCACTTTCTATTTTGTCACTTGTTGACATTGCTTTTGTAAGCTATCTTGCTGCTTTTCACTCTGAACAAGCAAATAATTACCCATCAGTAAATGCAACAGTGTGTAACTTCAGAAATTACAGAAACAGTTGAGTGATTACCACACTTCTGAATTTTTCATGCATCATGACTCACTTTGCTGGAAAAAGAACACATGGATTCCCAGCAACTTATTATCATGATTTGAACATACAATCCAGTTCAAATAATTTGAAATTATTAAAAAGACTTCTGTAAACATGCTTAAGTTCAATTGTATGCTTCAAGCATTTGTTAAAAGCTCCTTAAGAACTATTATAATTGAAATAACAGTTTCAAACAGAAACAATTAAATTATTTGGAAATTAATCTGTAAATCAATGCTACTTACTCCAGCTAAAGTTCTATTAATATGTTCAGTTATGCAGTCTTTGTATAACTCACAGTTGGCCTTTGGATTTTCTGTAGAAATTAAAAAGAAACTAATTATATATCACAGTTTAATCAATATTCAATATATAATCATTGTAAGAACTCTTGTCTAAGCAATGCCCCAAACCATCAGCATTCTGGATTTACACACATAAGACGTAGCACTCCGTTCTCAAGCTCCAACTACTAAGAATTTATCTTGGCCAAAGTTACAGCACTGAATAGGACTCAGCTTTTGTTTTATTCCAGTAGAGAGTTTGTTCCCTTTCCTTAGGACTTCCACAGATGAAGTTAAGAGACAGCTAAAATTTACAGAAAGGAGTACAGATCTGACAACTATGAGGAGGCATCCATTATTTCAAATGGATTTCATCACACTGGTTAGCAAAAATACGTTTAAGAAATGATTCTGTTCTCAGGAAATGTAGATGCTGCTGCCTCACCTCTTTGCTGATTAATCTAACGGAAGATAAAGAGGCACTGGTGGGTTTCTCAGAAGATGTAGTTCTATAATAACACATAAACCTTTATAATATCATGTACCTTGGCAAGAAGTGCCATCATTTGGCTTAAACTGCAATTTTCCTGTGGATGGTTGATAACCTTCCTTACACGAGCAGTTAAACCCTCCATCCACGTTTTCACATTTCGCATGATCTCCACAGGCAACAGTTCCTTCATTGCTGCACTCATCTACATCTGAAAATATTGTGAAAAATTGAATTTTTTTATTAAGTATTTACAGACTAACACCTTGCTGCTTTGTTGATAATAGCCCTGCACACTGCAAGCAGTTTCATAATAAAATTTAATGGAATAAAAACAAGTAAAATACAAAAAGGCAAACTTAATAGCAAAACACTTCCCAAAAATAATACTTAGGGATTAGGAAGATAAATCATAATTTATCATCTTTTTATACCACCACTTTTATTACTATATAATACTGCATTGTTCATGTTTAAAAACAATGAGTTTAAATATTAATTCTATCATAAGAAAATGCTTGGCACAATACAAATCATCTGGAAATCAATTTTCCAGAGATTAGACTAAATAGATTTTCTCAGCCTTATGTTTCAGTTAGAAAAGAGAAAGAGAACACCAGCATTTTCTTTTAAGTCACAGCTTTAAAAAGATGCTACAAAAGATCACTCTATCCATCTCATTAATCTAAGATTTAAACTCTGTGCTCTTTAAAGTGCTTGGCATGTATTTTTTTCTAATCCACATTTAAATTACATTTGCCTAAAATGTCTTTTGTGCTTCTAAATAATTTGCCATTAGGTAGACAGGTTCAGTAACTGGGTGGGGCAGAGTCCAAGAGTAAAACCAATGAATTCCTGTAAGGGAATCCATGAATTGATCAATTTAGGAGAGCTGGGTATTAACTCTCTGGCTGGAATAGAGATTATTTTGCATTATTTGGTTGGCTGAGGATAAAGATCAAATAACTCAACGGAGAAAGTAAACTGGGAACAATACCAAATAATTCTGAAGAATGAAGTAATGAACTGTGAAATGCTGTGCTGGAAAGGAGAAAAGAGTGAACAGCTTTGGGACAGGTATATCTGATGAAAAGAGTTGAAAAATGAAGTGACACATGAGCAGATTTAAAGGAACAACCTGAGAGGAGAAGAGGCTGAGAACTGAACTGGAGGACAGTACAGGTACAGAGGGGAATGCATGAACCAGAGAGGAAGACAACCTAAGTTAAGAACTGGCATGACACTGAATTTGGGAAAGAAAAAGGAGAACTGATCAACCAATTCGTGGAGGAAATAGCTATGTGAATTGATAGGAGAGTCTTTGTGCAGCCAGATGGGCTTTAAGAACAAACAGGCAGGCAAAACGATATTGGGGACTGGAAATGCACTATCAGCATACAGGAACTATTTTTGCACTCTTATTTTGATACACAATTGTTGGTGGTTTTCAAAAAGGAATGTAATAAAAATGAGCAAGAATGCACGTGAAATAAGGTTGCTACAGAAACTGTGGAAGAATAGAAAAATGTACTGCCTATCTGTCGATATATCTAGGGAATGCAGAAAGATGTCTGAAGGATACCTGGGGGCTGTCTGCCTATTTGGACA